CGGTGAAATACAACAAGCAAGGTGATCACCTCACGAAGAAGTCATTGAGCACGGCGGACATTTATGGGTCAATGGGACGTTAATCTCTAAATCTTCCGCAGCGGTATTGACGGGTCGTCACCGGCGTAGAAATACATCTTGTTTGTACATTTGGGTGTGTTCGCTGTCACGTATGTGCCTGTGTTGACAGTGGCTTGACACTCCGCTCAGCCCCACTGATCCTCACCTTCCACCGCTTACTTCAGCACTCCTGGAATAAAGTAGCCAGGCTAGTCTAGCCTGCGAGAAAGAAACTCGCTGTTTGCAGAGGCTTAATTTAATTTAACTTCGACCGTTCGGCGACCCATTAAAACGAGGAGAACGAGAGCTAAAAATACCCGACGTTCCTCACGTACATATCGGAGCACTTGGATGAGTCACACGCGAATAATACAATGAGGCTGTGCTGACACAATGCGCCATTTATTCGCGACGTAACAAGATAATGCGTGCTGAACATTCTTCGCGTGTGGTATTACGGACGCGATCGTCGAGCGAGTAATTAAATTCGCATTCGTCCCGTCACCAATTAACGGTAGTCAATGACACAATAAATATTCGCGCATTCCTGTCTTCTTCTCCGTGTATGAAATATGTGCGAGTTGATTGCTCTCCTGGACTTGAAAGCCCGAAGAAATCCAGCGAGAGAGCAGCGAGTGCATCGAGATTTTTTAATAAAATAGACACAGAATGAAAATCTAAAATATAAAAAGTGTATTTTTCTTATCGAAATATTATAGTTATAATTGAATAGTTCAGTTATAAGTATAGCACTGCAATTAATAAAATTTCAATGAAAGAATTAATTAAAGTTTCCTCAAATTTGTCATATAGGAGATTTCGGAATCACTGATTACGATTTTGAGGTCAAAAAGTTAAAATTCAAAATGGCGGATCCAATATGGCGACTCTCTATAATTCTTCAAAATTAGTAATTTCGCTTTTTTTTAGCATTATTCGAAAATGACGACAATATTTCCTTTATAAGAAAGAAGATATTTGCGTTTTTTACAAGAAATTTGCTACAAACATATCAATATTTCAACAGTTTATTGTCAAAAGTAAGGCTTACAGAAAATTTTGAAAATATATGTAAAATAATGTTAATTATCCTTAATAAACTATTAATGTTAATGTTTCGATGTGTCGATTTCTAAAGATAACTCTAAAATGATTTTTGTGTGAAAAAATGCCATTTTTACTTTTTTATTTGCTCATAATATTTTAACAATTAAACATCCAAATTATTTGTTACTTATTTGTAGTTCCTTATTTTTACGTGAGAGAACGTATAGTAATAATATAGTCTGCCGAGTTAGTTAAAATCACTAAAAGTGAAAAAAAAGATGACATGCCAGAATTGCTCAAAGGATTAAAGTAAATCATAAATGTTTCTGATTGAGTCAGTAAAAGGACTAATTCACCGATAAGCAGTAAATATGCACTAGTTTTTTGTAAAAACACTCCCACTTTACTGCTTTGTCTTATTTCTCACTAATTTTGACTAGTGGGAATAAGATTTCACTGCAAAATTCATGATAAACAAATTCGTTATACCAAATCCAAGTTTCTTCACTTGTGATAACGGAATTAATGGCTTTCATGCGCCTTGCGTCCATTAACATAGTTTGCGTTCGCAAAATGCATCAATAATGGATATGGTCACTATTATTAATTGATCCAATCAGTAAGATTTTGCTCATTGCAGTGCTATTCTTGTAACTGAACGACCAGTGTTATAAGTATAACATTTCAATGATTATACTTTAGAGAATGGAAGTTGTTAATTCTATGGTCAGACAAATGCAGAAAGTTGGATTTAAGTAAATCGTATAACGAATTTATGTTCTACACACGTAGAAAAAAGTTTGGTTAAATTAATGCGACAATGAACGAGCTAAAAGCGTTTTGGTTGGAGGCAACATAATTTATGGTTCTTAGAATCGAATTTGATTCATAAGAATCGGGAATTCTGTTTCCTTCAGCCGAAAACAGGCGTTTGGCTTGTTCATGGTCACGTTAATTCAACCAATCTCTTTCCTTCGTACAGATTCTACAGTGAAATCTTACTTCCACTGGTCAAAATCAGTGAAATATAAGACGGAGAAGTAAAGTAGGAATGTTTCCATTGAAAATAATGAATATTTCTTGATTAAAAATAAAATACTTTTTTTTATTGATTCAATCAGAAACATTTTTATCAGTTCACTTTAAGAGAGTACATTTTCATGTGGTCACGCATTTTTCTTCTTCGTGATCACCGATCGCGTTTTCGCATTGCTGACGTGATCCACTTCGCGCACATATCACCTGGAACTACTTCTCTTCAGACAATTTCACAGGAAGGAAGAAGCTTGGCTCGACGATTTCGTCGACAATTTCCGAAAGATGTTTATGCGTGAAAGCTAATATACGCTTTCTCCCACGTCTCTCTATCTTTCTATCAACGTAGATTCTACCAGAAACTTCTAAATTACGAGTTGCAGAACGTTAGATTGCCTTTTTAGCATAAGTTTCTCGCGTTTGCGCTTGTACATTCTATCATCTCTCAACTATCATTTCATATATCATTTTTCAAATACCATTTTTATTTATTATATTCTTATCATATAATATTATTTATTTTGTCATTTATTGTTTGCTTCAACTATTTCTTAGTTTTATATCATATTTGCATATTTTTTTCGTCACTACTTCATATTATGTTTTTTCATGTATCATAATTATCGGAATTTCTTGTTTGTTATTTTCTAATACGTTGCACTTCCTGGTAGAAAGATATACAGTTTGCGTAGACATTCGCCTAGTTATCGTTTGGTATTAATACATTCTCATTAGTTGTAAAAATACTGCATAGGAATTGATAAACCAGAACTTGATAAAGTTTATTCAGTGGTTTAAGTAATTAAGTTTTATTCAGTTAAATAATTCGGTTAAAATAATTTAGTGTACAAAATATGAATCGATTTTTTCCAGAACATAGTCTATATGTCATATGTCAATAGTCAATAATAGTCAATATGTCAATATGTCAATAGTGTTAATTCAGTTTTATAATATGCACATTATAATGTCTCTCTCTATCATGAATAAATAAAAAAAAATATTTATTTATATTGTTAAAAAATAGCTTAAAATTGTGAACAATTTGCACGTGTGGGAAAACGTAGAACAAAAAAGAAGATTGGAGGAAATAAATCATTTAACAATATTAAGACAATATTTCATTTTCCGTCAATTCCTCTCCTTCCTTCCTCTTTCTTTCAAACTTACAAAAATCAAGACAATTCCATCGAATTTTGCCTCTTAATTGGAATAGATAGCCGGAAAAGAATATTACAATTATGGTGTTTAGCTTATATATTTGCGGATATTAAGTTCAGTGATAGAAATGACAATCAAGGTTAGAAATGAAAGTGACAAACAGGGTATGTAGTAATAATACAAAATTCCATTGCGATGGGCACGCATTAGATTATTTTAATGATAATAATACAAATAAAAAACTGTCATGATAGCTCAGACATAAAACCTGATGAAATAGTATAACTATAAGAATGGATAAAAGAACATGTGTCAAATCATTTTATTACGAAAGATATCGTAAAAAGATGAAAGATATGAGATAAAATATATATTACGCACCAAAGATTTCTTGCACTATGATTCTCATTAACATTAAAAATTTTCAACTAAAAATCTTGCACAAAAGATGGAATACTATTAGAACAAATCTGTTCATTTTATAAGCAGCAGATTTAATTAATCAATTGAATGGTTTTGTCCATTTACTGTTCTGTTTCCGTTCAATAAATGGATTCAGATTTTACGCATCTCTTGTGCACAGAACTGTAGGAAAAGGATTACATTTTTATTAAAATCCCACGTAATTTTACTCTTTCGTTATTAGACGTAAAAGTTAACGTAACTGTCCAATAATTGTTCAAAAACTGCGTTTTTTTATCAGATTTTCTTCTTTTATTTCTTACTTCTTTGATATGCAATCGTGATTATTTCTTTTATTTATTTTTTTTATCTGTATATTTTTTATTACTTCATTTTATATATATGCGTTATTCCTACTAACCAATTTTATATTTTATATCGTATTTCTTGTCCATTTCTCTCGTGTCCGAAGGAAGCCTCAGAGTTTGGAATAAAATCTATTTATAATCTACATTAAAAAAAAGTAGTTGGATTGACAAAATCAGCGGTCATCCGCCTTCAAAAAAATATTGCGTCTATTGAACAAATTACGCGTTACTGCAACAATAAATTGCGTTGATATAGTTATCGACTAAATTACAACCATTGAATCGATTGACAACTTGTCGCAAAACAACGATATAATTCATTCAATCGACTAGACGATTTTACTTGAACGAATTTTGTTCGTTCAAGCAAAGTCTAATTATACATAGGCAATATACTTTTTGTTTCCTGTTTCTTGTCCTCTGTCGTTTTTTTTTTTTTTTTGCTTAAACCTGATCTACAATATGCTCTTTGTTTCCTGTTTAATTTTCTTCATCTGTTCCTGACTCACATTTTATGCCATAAGCCAGAAAAGGCTTAGGGAACAAGAAACGGGAAGCAAAAAACACATTGTAGATCAGGCTTTAAAGCCTGATCTACAATATGCTCTTTGCGTTCTGTTTCTTGTCTTGTCTTTTTCTGGTTTAAAGCTTAAGGTTTGAGTCGGAAAGAGATAAAGAGGAAGAAGCGGGAAGCAAAGAGTATATTATAGATCAGGCTTAAGGCTTGAGTCGGAAAGAAGCAAAGAGAAAGAAATAGGAAAACACATTGTAGATGAAGCTTTAGAGCCGTTCCAGGTGGTGACGTCAGGTGTGGACGACGGCACGGCACACGGCGGCGCGTGCACGTGCGCACCGGGGCGCCGTGTCGGCTAGACTCGATCCTGAGCGCCCGGTGGATCCGTCAGAAAGTACTCGACGGCCGGACAGTATCGCGAGCGCTGGCGCGAAAGCATGCGGCGCGAGCCTCGTCGAGTACTTTCGTTTCGCGCGCCGGGCAACACGCTCACTCGCGCTCGCGGCGCATCGCACGTCGCACGTCGTAGTCGTCGTAGTCGAATCGTCCGCGGGACCAATCGCTCCGACTGATCCGCCGCGTCTTCTCAGCGTCTCGAGGGAACACCGCGGACAATTTTCCGCGAGGATTCGCAAACGTCGTCGTGACCCATCGATTTGTCCCGACGGATCTCCACGGAGGTCGGCGGAGGATAACAAGCGCGCGATCCGGGAGATCGCGAGGTGCAGTAGGTGAGTGTAAACACTGTCTGCCTCTCTTCCCCTCTCTCTCTCTCTCTTTCCATCTCTCCGGTTGAATTTCACCACCTCCCGCGCGTCGATCTCTCCTCCGGGTGCGTTCGCGCGCACCATCGATGACGGATAAATGTGCATGCACGCGTTACCGCGAACGGATCGCTGCCGACGCATCGGCGGGCCGATGCTTTTCCTCGAGGATATTACGCGAGTGGCATTGTCAGCCTCTTACATAACGAGAGCCGTGCAGCAGGAGCGATGAGAATCTTCCCAGTGCAATGCGGTGTAGGAGGCGCGTTTCCATCCGACAGGAACAAACGAACGTTCGTTCGTTTCGACCTCCCGAAGCGCCGCGCGCTCGTTTCTCGCAGTGCACGCCGGCCCGTGGATAACGATCGGCTCTCACGGGGGACCGTCAGCGCGAACGTCAAGCGTATTTGGCGTGAAAGCCAAGGTACCGGTGCCCCGATGACAGACACCAACGGTGTCGCGCGATCCTAAAATGGATCCGCGCGCGTTGGCCGCTCGAACGAGCCCGCTCTGCGGTTTCAAGCAAAATGGCGACGTCCTTGGCGAGGTCACGTGTGTCGCGTCCACGCCGTCATCCGTCGTCCGCGGCCGCTTCTCGCGCGTTCAAGTCACTCGGAACGCGCGGCGCATGACGATTCAAACGTCCCGTCTGTCTTACGAGGGTGGTCTGAAAAGTTTCCGACCTAACAAAGATACAAGTCATTTTTTCTGAAAATTGTTTTTTATTTTTCAACATAGTCTCCTTGTAAATCTACACACTTCTCCCAGCGATGCTCCCATCTCTGTAACCCGTCGAAATAGTACTCGGCGTTTTTCTCTGCAAAATAATTGTTCACGAAGGTGATTGCCTCTTCATTTGACGAAAATCTCTGTCCTCCGAGCGCAATTTTTAGATGAGGGAACAAAAAGAAGTCGCTTGGGGCTAGATCTGGTGAGTAAGGTGGATGGTCAAGCAGTTCAAACCGTAATTCGTGGATTTTCGCCATGGCAAC